TTGTTGTTCTTCTAACCTTCCTAATAAATAAGATCTATTGATTGAGCCTGTGTGCGTCTACCTGTCTGTCGCGAAATACAGAGCCCGTCCAAGTAACACACGGACTTTGATCCCGAGAAACTATGTAAGGGTTTGACGGGAACGTTACTGATGAGTGACAGCAAAAGATAACAGTTGACAAGATCCGATAAGGCGCGTTGGAAGGGTATGGGTACCAAGTTCACAGTGATGGGGAAGCAGTGATGGGACATTGGTTTCGAGAAGTGATATAGGGGAGTGGGGACATTATTTACGGGTGACAGGGAGTGATAACAATTGATAAAGGCTGATGGTTACAAGTTTGCATGGCGAAACTCGGATCATCACTTACAGCGAGATTATCATCAATTTTACCCGACTGCCAGTTTCTACTGATCGAAGAGAGCACGACTTATTCCTGTAAGCCCATCTGTAAAGAAATATCCGACCGCTAGATTACCTAGTTCAGGATGAATGGCGGATGTTTGCTGCGATCAGACGAATAATTGTAGTTTTATCACCGATACTCCAACAGTTTCCATCAACAAAATTAGTGACTACCACCACGTTAAATGTGTGAGTGCAGTAGGACCATGGCACGAATCTCATTGAGAGGGTAAGAGCGGCCACGCTGGCGAAATGGACAGTGCACTCATCCTGTCAGTAAGAGACCCGGGTTCGAGTCCCGTTTGGAATCTGCCTTCTGCTCACTGAGAATTCTTGTGAAAGAGAGTATCATTCGAAGCGTCCTCATACTGTCTGCGGCATGCAAGCAGCAGTATTACGCCTCAACAGGAAGGGATATCAAAACTGCAGAAACTTCTAGCGAAGAAAAAGCAGATAGAAGCAGGGCGCTGAAGCGGCTAACCTGACGGGTTGCTTATATTCCCGAGTGAGACAGGGAGAGCTTTCTTTCGAAACCATGCTATAGAAAGGAACGGGCGAAACAGAAGGTTTCGGCGAGTGTAGAGCTAGACGTCCCAAAAGCGACTTTAGCTCACCCAGAATACCGCCTGGTGCACGCGACAACGCGCGCAGCTAAATGTAGTTCACTGCACAAAAAAAACTAGAGTTGTCTGTTTTGAGAGTGAGTCCATCAGTCAAATGTCAATACATATAATATCGGCATGATAAGGGAAGAGAAATAGACCATATGAGAAGAACCATCAGGTTCTCGGAACCAATCCAATGTGATTCTGTGGTTTACACGATCGTAACACATTCTTGTCTATCATTTTTAAAGACATTAAATCAGAACGTTAACGTCTACTCCCGCTTGCGTTCGAAATTACTGCTTTTGATTTACAGACATACTTGCGACACTCGCGAATAGCGACCACGTACCTTTGCGTATTCGGCTATTTCTCGTTTTAGAGCTGCATTTTGCTCCACAGTTTCGTTGAGAGACTTGTTCATTTTCGCAAGGCGGTCAGTCAATTCGGAGATCGGAAGAGCCCATTATATGACATCATTAGGCTCCAAAAGGACCTCATTGCCACAAAAAAAGAAATTTGTCGAAGTTTTTCCAACAATTCGTTACGGGACTTCAACAGATGCGCCGTCAAACAATTCTTTGGGCAATGAACTTTTGAAGTCCAGTTTTCACAACAGCTGGATTTCCTGAACACGAAACAATGCAATGTTCAGTTACTTACGACTTTCATAGCTTCCAGATTAAGAACCATAGCTTTACTGCCCTTGCTGGCAGCGTTCAGCTGCAGATTTCGATAAAGCAGATTTCAAAGTGTCGTTCTCTACACATACCTAAAAGCGTAATTGCGATAAAATTCAGGGGGAGATTAGTCCAGAAATCAAAAGCGAACAAACATATCCCTCACATTATTCAACTGCATTATCTGTTGTTTCGCAGCTGCTTCAGAAACGGAAAGTGCTTGGAGTTTTGAAGTCAATTCAGAAATGACACGTCTGCAAAGTATCCTGATGTAATCAAATAGTGAGAACAATTTGTAGAGATGAATTGGAAGTTATATCGAAAGTCACAAGAAGTACACAAGACGCAGTAACGCAGGACGGTCTCAGGATTAGGCGAAGTTACCTTGTGAGAATCGGCAGTATGAGTGGCCTGTTCCGGGTCTCATTTATTATTTGAGGTGTAACAACAACGTGAAACTCCCAAAATTTATTCCAAAAAACTCCAAAAGTCTCAAAATTTTTAAATATCTTAACTTGCAATATTTCGGTGCGTAGCACCTTCGTCAGGCCAGATAAAAGATTTATTTTGGGACGACTGGTCTGACGAAGGGTGCTACGCCATCTGAAATATCGCAGAGACTACCGTTAAAAATTTTTTTTTGAGACTTTTGCTCTCTTTTGAGTTTTTTGGAATAAATTTTTAGCGTTTCACATTGTTGTTACACACTGGGTGTGAAAGGCTATCTTATGAACGAAGGCGAAGGTCGCGATAGGGATGACTTCTTAGCGAGCCGATGGACAAGCCGGCTATTCTGTTACATTATTTTCGAGCTTACTAGTCGAAAGCAAGACCATTTACTCGTCATAAGCTCCAGATAAAGTTTCTTCACCACCTTAACTTGTTAGGAAGATGGAAGGGGTATAGAGAAAGTTGAGGCGAAAATCCCGTATGCGTGAACAAAGAAAGCTGTCACATGGAGCAATTATGAACTGAGGACTAGATTATGCAGATAGAAAAGCAGTTCCCGCTCGTCGAGAGCCTGAAGTTCAAAGTCTCCATTTGCGTCACTTGATTACTGCAGTTAGCTAGAGCCCAGCAATTCTGCCATTTGTACATTTTATCCATCACTCTTCATTCTACACCATCATCCCCGCTGCTCAATCGCAGTTGTAGTGTCTTCCCCCACACCTGAGGGGGGGAGACATGCGATGTTCATGCGCTGTTTCCATCACCAATTATTAGATCCACCGAAACTTCGGGGATGTGACAATTTCTGTCGATTTCCAAGGTACATAATGTCCAGGACCTTTCGTTCGAGGGGAACCATTACTAACCGCAACATTTTGAGTTTTCCTAATGTCTTTTAAAACTTATTCAATTTTAAATTCCAACAACATGTAAATGCTTATTCTGCCTTTCTCAGTAAAACCGTTCGCCCAACTTTTCGCATTACTTCCTTCAGCGAAAAATCTTTTGCGGTATGCAGCGGAAGTGAAGTAGGATTGTGCTTATTGGCCAACACCAAAACAAAGAGCAAGTATCGACAAGTGTGCGAAATTTCTTACAGTTATCAGCTGTATTGTTGATAATACAAAAAACTCCAGTTAGGGAAATAAGAGTGATGACCTACACGTGATCAGCTATTTGCCTATCAGAGATGATTCGTGATTGTTGATACTGGTCAATTTTCTTCTTCTGCTCATGATCCTTCCTTTCATATTCAACTATCGTTTCTTCCAGGCTCTGTTCATCTGAAAAGTCACGATGCGGATACATCGTCAACAGCATATTCCTCGTTCGTCCAAGCTGTCTATCCTCCAAAAGTGTTTTCTCTCAGCGTATCCAGCCTCTAACAGTGAACGGATGGAGTTTGGAAAACCCCAAACCGCTCTAGTCCGCCCTATTTTCCCTTTTTTGCTTCTTATCTAGTACCGCTAATCCAGGTAAGTCCGTCAACTTACCATGGAACTTTGAATGGAGACCTGGGTAGATCGATAGAGTCTATAAGGTTATTTACAAATATAGATAGCAAAACTGCAACCTGCATTTCACAAGCAACTTATGAGCAGGTAAATTTTGTTAATGGTGCCAGTCAAGGGTGGGGTCTTGGCCCCGCCCCTCGGTGATCTCGTGAGCATAAGCGAGGAATCGCATTACGATCGATCGAGTCTCAAACGTCAAAAAAAATAAAAAAAAACAAATGACGCTTACACTGAACCCACCGCGACCTCGACTCGCGTATTGCGAGTTCCTCGCTTATGCTTCAAGCTCAAGAGAGGCCTCCCACCATTAACGAACCATTACCTTACCTCATTAAGTCACATCACTTATGAAATGAAGGTTGCAGTTTTGCTCCCTATATTTGTAAATAATCATATAGACACTATCGACCTACCCAGGTCTCCATTCAAAGTGCCATAGTAAGTTGGCAGACATCCCTGGTAAGGCTGCATTCATACCTTAACGACGTCGCATCGACGTAACTGGCGTAACTGACCTAATCGACGTAGTCGGCGACAGAAGATTATACGTATTGATCCGACGTGACCGACATAATCGACGTTTCGACATTAATCGATACTTCTAATCTTCCCGTCGCAGAATCCGCCAGTTTTATCACGACGACGTCGTAAGGTATGACTGCACCTAGAGTCTGTTTTAAGTTGACTGCACAAAGATTTATTGCGGTAGCTCATAGTAGCATTATTCTCCCCAGTATTCCAGCTCGTCTCAAAAAACGGAGAATGGAGATTTCACGAAGAGATAAACACTTTTGCCATGATTAGAACTTATCAAACTGTTGCTGAGTTGCTTAAGAACGCCTCAGCCGTCTACCAGGATTTTGAGCTTCACGCTTACGGAGTTGTAATCACTCATCCACTGGAGATCCCCTGCACTATCGCGTTACGGGTTTTTCCCCTGTATCTTGATAGAAATTCCCATGGCGTACTGCAGTTATAGCAGGAGTTATCTTTTCTATTTCGCAAAACATTGCTAGAGAATGGTGCTAATGCCAGAAGGCAGCTTCGGCTCAGTAGAGAGCGCGAAACTGACTCTTATAGGTGTCTTAACGGGTAGAGTTTGCGGAAGTCATAAAGACTCCCTGGTATTTTTAAGTTGAAAATATAGACGCGCCTATTAGACGTACTGAAAATACCTCGTCGCGACAGTACGTACTGCAATATGAGAAGGCAAATGTCAGGCCCAATCTCTAATATTGCGACATACCTAGATGAATTCGATACAAAAATAAACAATTTAAAATGGAGAAAATAAGGTGCGGAGCAAATCCAATGGAATCGTTATAGCCCCACAGCCATTGCTAACTGTCGTAATGTGCTTAAAATCTCTCTTTTTAACCTCTTGTTGTGCACGAAGCCGAACCTAGGTGATCAGCACGTAAACAGGACAAGACAGGAGATCGGTCGGCTTTAATTGTAAAACTGTATTTGTGAACATCGGTTCACCAGTAAATCGGAGAGGAAATAATAAAAGGTGTGATAGTAAAGAAAACAGTTATGAATGATAACTCTAGTTCCACTTACCTATAGCATTAGTATCGTGGAAGTAAGATGCAAGGTAGCTGATATATTCAGGTTCAATTTCCTCGAGTGAAGCTATACGTGTGAGTACCTTGTTCGAATCGAGGTCGTTGATATTGACTATTGTGACTGCAAACAATATTTCATAGGTGTATACAGTTCACTATTGAAAGAACAAAAGCATAACTAATAAATAACAGCCAATAAATGCTTACTTTTCTTCTTGGGTTTCTTTTCTTTTTCCGACTTAGAAGTGTTTGAAGAGTGCGACTCACCTACGGGTTCGCCTTGAGCTAGCTGAAAATAAAGTTCTCAGCTCCGTGCCTGTTTTATGAGAAAGTCGAGTTTGATAGGGTGAGAGTTTGACTACCTCAGGAGCGAATGTCTGCGCTGTAGTCACATCCTCTTCCTTCTTAGACTTCGTCTTCTTCCTCTTCTTGCCTGAAAATGGCCACAATTATAATGGCAGCTAAAACCTCGAACAGTTCCTAGTCGCACTACTTCATTGCTGTGCGCAAAGGCACGTTAATTCTGGGAGGAGTGTTTCAGGTCAGGACTTTTGTCCCCGAACCTGCTGTTCAGGGGCCGGGCCGACAAAATGAAAACTTTTTTTTAATATATCTATGTCAATGCAGCGTTCAGGACATAAGCTTGTCTCGTGTCCTTATCAAAGGCAGGGCAACGCATCATCGTCTCATGTAGGAAGTCCAAACACTATATCACCGGAAGCATGGAAAACGATGATGATACATACTATAATTCAGTCCCGTGATAACTCGTCAAAGAGAACGCGGATTGAACTCGGGAGCCTGAATTGCAACTAAACTACGGATGATGCTACCACAGTCAATGCTGTGCCATCTATTAAGATACTCTCGTGGGCAGGGTGACTGGTAGAGCGCGGACACTGTAGGAGGCAGCGTTGAACTGCCACGAACAACGGAAGATGCCCTTCGAAAAACGTACAAAGTAGTAGGCATCGTGCTTATTTTACAAAAGAATGCGGATAAAGCTTGCGTTCGTGCCATTCTTAAACGTTAGACTCCTGGTTAAATTCTTGGCCTTTTCATCCCTTCCTTCCCAAGAATTCAGAAAGTCTGCTTCTTTTCTGAGGCTCTTTGCAACCAGTTAACTTATTTGAAGGTTCCACTTACTGTGGTATCTGAGATTTGGACTCTGGATTTGTTCTTGTAAGTATGAAGTTCTTATTTTAACTCACAGCTTCTCTCAGGCTCACGTTTCTAATGTTGAAATATGGACTGCCTATCGAATGCATAATAAAGCGGAAGTACCTATGTAGATAATTAGGCAGGGTGCCTATGGCGAACTTCATGACCTAACCAAACAATCCTAACTATACAACTCAGAAATATGATCACAACCAAGTGTGGAGCACTGCTGAACACTAACCTTCCGAACTTGACGTTTGCTCATGTCGATTTTCTTTGTTTTCTTCAGAAGCTGGTTCACTAAGTACGACAGGTTCATCTATGACAGGGATAGCAGGCTCAGCATTGACTTCTTCGATTTCAGAAGCATTCACGATGGAATTCTGAAGGGGATATAAAATAGAATGAATAGTTTAGGTGCCAAATACCAAGGCGGCTTCTTTTTCATACACTACTAAAAACCAAATCTCGAGAACCTTGATTGACACTGCCAGAGAGGAGGATATAATAAATGAACAGAAAAACGATACAAAGGTGAAATGACTGTGATAGCTTCAAAAAAAGCCGCACCACACTGCTGTAAGGCAAATTCGCAGCATTAAGTCCTCTCAAACTTCGGTGGCAATTTGGGGTAGCCCCTTTTCTCCAAACCATATGTGACTCCTTCCGCGATAAACTTTCGATATATACAGTAGCAAAAGAAACTTGGAACAAGCCCACGTCGCACGCTTTTCTTTCAACTGCACGTGAAACCATCGTTTGGTCAACAAATACGGAAATGCTATTCAAAAAAAATAAAGCTGGTTAATTGAATTCATCACCGGGACAGAATCTCGAAGATTATCGCGATGCGGCATGCCACTGCTACTCTGATTTTTCAAAATTGTGCCATTTAAAAACTGCATGTAAAGTTAAAAAAATTCTGCGACTGTATGTAGTAGTTCGAGATGTACAACAACAGATGACTTACCTTTTCCTTTTTGGAGCTCTTCTTCACTTTGGGTTCAGACGAGGATGCATTCGTCAACGAAACAGAAGCCGATGTAGGAACAGCCTCGACCGGCTCTATCAAGGAATCGCCAGCAGGTGCCACCAGATCCACGTCCAAATCGGCCTCCTGTCTCGTCTTAACATTTATTGTGAAAAGAAGATTCATTTACATTTCCATTTGCCACGTATCGATTAATGAACAACCCCCTGATATGCGGCCACCAGAAGCAAACAAGTTTCAGGTTCAATCACAGCTCAGTAAAAAAAACTATTCGAAAATCACAAATAGCGAATATGGAAGGAACTATAAACGTTTCTTCTATTGAGGAGATGAATGGGATTATTTGACGGAGCTCTTCCTGCTCTACAGAACTGTGCTGACCGTTTTTTTTCTTTGTAACATATTTTTTATTACTTTTTAGGATCAGTAATCGAATATTCTGAATATTGAGAAAACAAACCATTTGTTGAAATTCGCCTTTCTTCGCTTTTCAACGAGGTCAAAAAGATGCTGAAGCAGTCCAGGTGTGTAAGGTGCGGCGAATAGAGCGCTCGCTGAAGAACGTCCCATTCGAGCTTTTGGAGTGGCTCCGATGACCTGTGCAACATGAGTTCTGGCACTGTCGTGAAGGAGTATGGTTTGGCCTCTATGGGGTCTTATCAGTCAAACAGTCAAGACAGCCTCTATCACTCGATGTAGCTGGGCTATGTAGAGCTGCTTCTTGACGTGGCACTTTTTCAAGCAATTCCTAGAGCACTGAAACCTTCTCCGGCAGCTTTTTTTTGAACTTTGCACACCAGCTCCGTGCTGTAGACTGGTCAGTAGCACCTTCTCCGTTACCCTGCAAATGTTTTGGGCT